AGCCAAGACAATGAAAACTAACAGCAAAACTCCATATCTTTAAAACTGATAAAAACTAATCGTATTCTCCTCTTCAACCTCTCCAAGTACATTCAAAACGTCCCACCCCAACCTTCTGCTGCATTTTACATTTTGGTTATTTAATTGATTAAGGTAAATGATCCTGAAGTAAACACCTTCATCTGCCTCAGGTTGGAATAGAATACATATCCATATAGAAAATACTTTGGGATTTTTTTGTCACAGCTTTATTGTTATTTCAGTGTATTGTATATCTTTTCATGAAAGTAAAAAATAAATGGGTGGAGGGCAAGGGAAGCTGTCATGGAAAGTTACTGGATATTATACAAATGGATATTATACAAATGTATACTTGGACATCTACAAATAATACTAGTTGCTGCTGTGTATGAATTTTAATATACTTGTACTGCACCTATTATTTAATTTGATAAACAACAGAAGTTTTGGTCTGTTGTATAAACCTGTATTTTGACACCTTTTTAAAGAGTACATTTTGAGTTAATGTTCCATAATACAGTGAACGGGACATCATGGTCTGCTGTGTAAATCCTTCTTATTGCATGGATTATTACCCTGAGAGATGGTAGCCGTTATGGTTTCTCATTTCAGTCTGGATGCCAAGCATGCGCACCAAGTTCACATATTAAAAATCTTTATGACATTTTTCATTGAAAAAAAAAGCAATGTTCGTGCTCATTCAGTAAACAGCTCAGGGATGGATGGATAGATAGATATTCAAAGGCAGTATGGAGCCTGCAAGGTTACAACTGAAAAAAGCAGCAGCAGCTATTTTTAGGATTGTAGGAGCACACTTACATAGTTAAAAATAGTTGAACAGATTTTTTTAAATAAACAACATTTTGTAAAGCAAAGCAAACACTAAACATTCTTGGACTGATTTCTTGTACGCCAGACTCCAGCCTGAAGCAAAAATTTTTAGCCCAGTTAAAAGCTCTGTAAAAACATGATTTATAAGGGAAATGGGACTTCAATTTTAACTCTAGCAGCTAGAGTATTTCTCAGTCCTTGCATGGGTAAAATGAAAGATTTTGACAAATTTCTGTGTTCTTTAGGGTAGATGGTGATAACATATTTTTATTACTTTTTCTAATAGCATCATCTCATTTCTCATGTTAGTGGTGAATAGCTGTGTAAACTCCCACAGAGAGCAGAGACTTTGCTCTTATGGGTGGTAGTTTACTTTTCTGTCCAAGAGATAGTTCAGAAATAGAAAATGTAAACTCTTGCCATTAAGTTATACTTTTCCTTTAGGAAGTTTTCACATAGTGTTTTGAAGAAGCTGAATGTATTAATATCAACGGTCTACACCATGTTTTAAATCTTCTTCCATTATCAATTTGCTAAAATATGTGCAAGTAGCAGTTTTCTGTGTACCTTTTAAAGTCAAAAACCTTGGCTATGTCAAGTTTATTGAGCTAATTTGCAGTCATAGAGATCTGTACCGTCACAAATATATACCATTGTAGTTGCATAACAGCTATAGTTTTAAGCTTGTTTAATCAGATATTTAACCAAATGGGGTAATAACAAGGTTTTACGTCTGTTGTTATTACTCTCATATAGAATTATATTATTGTGTTTTGTGTTATCAGGATGTTGGAATTAAGTAATAATGTAAAAGAAAACATGGCTTCTTATTAAATAAAATATACAAAATATAAGTTGCAAAGAATACAACAAAAACATCTTAGCAACTCCACATCATCAGTTAGAAACTAATTACTGTAAGGGATTCAACAGATGGAATTGGAGAATTGCTTGGATATACAAGGTCAGATCTTCAACTGGATTCTAATCCATCAAATATTGTTACAGCTAATGTTAAAAATATATATAATACTCAGGTTAAGAAAAGAGTATCTGTACTTCTGGGTACAGTGCTTAGATTATCCACAAATACAAAGTTTGTTTTAAAAGTCATAAGATACATATAGTACATAATCTGCAATAACCCAAATTTAGGTGAATAAATTTAACAATACAGTTTAGATATTAGCATCCAAGTATTCAGGTACATCACTCATAACAAGTTGTACAGAGAGTTGATTGTGGAAAGCAAAATATTTCAATGAGTGAAGATTGTCCCTCATACTACATACAAGGTTAACTTTAAGCCTGAGAGAACAGTTCCATTGATGGAAATGAGGTTACGCCCATGCTTAAAGCTAACATCAGAGGCGCTATGCTGATTTGCACTGGATGAATTACACCAATGATAGTCAGACTGAGGCTCGCAAGCTGCAAGTGGCTCTTTAATGTGTGGCTCTTTGCATCACATGATATTAAAATACTGTGTGATTTAATTATTAACAATCTAAGTTATTAACCAACTAGGATTTTTTTTCTATGTTATTAATCAATTGCAGTTGATAAAATAATAATACTTGGTCAGTCATTTTGCTGTGAGAATTTTGTATATATATATCCACACACACATACACATTTCCCATCATACTGTTTAAATATGAATATATATGAATATATAGTACTATAGTAAATGAAACAATGAATTCACACAACCGTGGCTCTTTTCGGTAATGTTGATCGCTAATTTGGCTCCTGAACCACTGAGGTCTGAATATCATTAATTTACACCCATAGTATATGTGTGTGGTCTGCGATCAAATGAATTAGACTGAAGCAATATCTACTAATCAATACTTTGTGATAAGAGTTTCAGTGTACCAAATATGTACATATTTATTATATAGTATAATATTTTATTTTTTTAAAAGAAGCTTGATTATAACACATGTAAAATTATGATATATCATCTTGATTGTTATATTTTGACCAATTTTTCCTGAAACTGTTGCCATAGTTACTGAGATAAATTGGTATGAGAATTAAAAATAAGAATCACTGAGGAAGTTCTTATATTTTTTCCATAAAATATATGTAGAAATATATAATTTGAATCTCTGTCAGTGCTCAGTTTCATCAAAGTATTGTCTAATTTGGCTTAATCAGTCGCTTTCTCCCTCTTCTTCTCTGGCTTATACTTCACATTCCTTCTTGACACCAAGTTGTAAAATACACATTTTATCTTTCTAATTTGTCTTTGTAAACTATAACTGACTTAAAAGAATGAGTGTTTTATCAACCATATCCAAACATATTTCAGACTGAGCCCTCTGTGACATACACCTTTTGTCAGCTGTTCATGGTAGGCTAGTTTTAATTTCTAGCCTGCAGCATTGCATAAATAACCTGCAAAAGACAGGTGGCAGTCTGCTATTTCGAAATCCTCCAGAAATCTTATGAATCTTGCAGCTTGAATTGTACTATGCAGATAAAGTAGGGTCTCACGCAGAAAATAAGACACAGCCTTTTAAGAAATGCAACTTGGGTAAACGCATCCCTTTGTTTTTAGGGTGAATTAGCCAGGTAGAGGCTAACTATTGCATGTGGCAGAAATAACAACTGTAAACTTAATTGGAATAC